GAAAAGTCTTATAGAATTCCACTGGCAACACATCTGGACCTGGAGCTTTCTCAGTATTCTGTTTTTTTAAGGCTTCTGTTAGTTCCATCGTTATACTTCCTTCTAACATTGTTTCAATATTTTTGGGTATCTGACATAAGTTCGCTTTCTGAAGATATTGCTTGATTTTTTCTTCTTGAATATTCTCTTGAAAGTATAGTTTTCCATAGTAATCTTGTGTAATTTTTGTCTTCTCCTTGTTTCCATAACAAACCTGTCCTTCTTTATTTATCAATTGGCTAATTCTTCTTGCTTCTCTTTCCTTTCTCAATTTATAAGCTAGCCATCTGCCTGGTTTATTTGCATCTTCAAAGTAATTCTGTTTCAATTTTAATTTCTGTTTTATTTTTTTGTGCTAATTCTTCTTTTTCCATTAGTCCCATTTTATGTTTAATTATATCCATTTTATTTTTAATGTCTTTTTTGTGGGGACTTCTGTAAGTCTTTTTCCAGTCTTTTATAGTCATCCTCTAATCTCTTAAATGTCTTTTTCTGTTTTCTGTTTCTTCTCCTAGTATAATCTATTATCAAGCCTCTTGTGTAGGCCTTCATCGTGTCCCAGAGATTCTGTAAAGATGTATCCTCTTTTCTATTTTCTTTGAAGAAGAAAACAAGTTCTTTCTCTGTTTTCTGTTTAAAGTCTTTTTCTTTCAGAATCATATTATTTAGAGTCCATCTAGCTCTCCTCTTGTATCTTTTCCAAATAACTGATACTGGATTATAATCTGCCCATGTGCTTGTTTCTATTTCAATCTGTCGTACTTTAGTCAATAATTCTGCTGACATCCATATCATATCTATTCTAGACCAGGATGTGTGTCTATTAAAATAGAAAGTTATATTGCTTACTTTCCGCATTTCTCTCTGTCCATGCATCTTTTAAATTAAATTCTTCTGTTATTCGAAGGAAGGATTTTGGTAGTATCTTTCTAACTTTCTTTGTTATTTTCTGTGTTTTATAGTCCAATCAGTCATTAATTATTCCATTAAAATCACCCATCATAAACATATTAACATAGTCCTAATCAATTATTTTTGTATGTAATTTCCTATAGAATTCTTCTTGTTTATCATTTGGGGCATAAATTGCAATTAAAAGTGTTTTAACACTGTTATCCATTATTTTCACCATCAGAATCCTTCCATCATCATCTATGTAGATTAATTCTGCCAAAATTGTTTCTTTAATATATAATGCTACACCTCTTTTTTTTTATTGTGCCAGCAATGTAAATAATTTCCCTAATTTTCCTTGTTTTAGTATATAGTATATTTTAGTATATAATATATTTTTAATATGTACCTCTTGTAAGCAGATTATATCAAACTTTAATTTATCTAATTTGTGAAATACTTTCCTTCTTTTAATAGCTGAATTAGGTCCATTTATGTTAATCATAATCAGTTTTCTTTCATCCATGTTAAGCTTTATAAGAGGGTTTTATTGCTCTAGCAGATCTCAATTCTCTGGGTTCCCCACCTACTGCACCTTCTTCTTTTTCTTTTTCAATTACTGCTATACACTCCTCTTGGAATTCAATTAGTGACTCTTCCTTTCTTTCTTCTTCCTCCTTTTCTCTAAAGTATTTTAAGTAGAATAGCCCAGCTTTTCCAACTGTGTTAATTCTGTGTCTTTGTTCCTGCCAAGTGAACAAAAGGCTTTCTGGCATCAACCACTGTAGTTTACTCCTCTTTTAAGTAGTTCTTTAGTCAAGAATAAATATTCTCTTCTCATCTCTCTTACTCTTCTTGGTATCTGTTTCAGCATCACAATTTCTTTATTTTTATATTTTAGTGTTTTCTCTCTTGCCACCTGGAGTATCTGTGTCTTAATAATCTTCTTAGTAAATCTGATGTGAAATTCTCTTGGTAGCCTATTCCTCATTGCATATCTTGTGTAGACACGAAACACTTCATTCATCCCACCCATCATCTTTTCTTTAGTTATTTTCAGTGCTTCTGCCAATATTTCTGCCATTATTTCAGCAAGGTTTTCACCTTTCCTTTCTTCTATATTTTAAAATCTTAAGTAAAATTCTGATTTGTCTATTTCCCATCCTAATGATTCACTCCTGCCCTTTTCGATATTGCTCAAATGAGTATCAATATCTCCAATTTTCTTATCTCTTTGTATATCTTCTTCAATTTTTTTGAATCTGTCTTCATATTTGATCATAATCTGTTGCATATTTTCCACTTTTTCATCTGTCTTTTCAATTTTTTGCTCAATTTTCTGAATTCCTTGCATGATCATCTGTAACGTCACTTCCTTCTCTTTCTCTTTCTCTTTTTCCTGTTGTAATATTGTCTTTATAGATCAATGTCCTCCAGATGGTGAGGGAGTTGGTATCGAAGAATCTGGGGCTGTTGTCTTTCTACTCATCTTGTAATGCTTATCTGTAAAGAAAGAGAGAGAAAAAAGAAAAAAAAAAGAGGAAAAAGGAAAAGAAAAGAAAAACAAAGGCAAACAGTTGCCACTCCAAAGGAAAAAATGAAAAAGAAACTTTTCAGGCACTTGTATACCTTAATCCAATTATTTGCAATTGTAGATGTAAAAAAGAAAAAAGAAAAATATTCTATATATTCCTCTTAATAAACAAAAGGAAAACCAAAATAAAAGGTTTACATTGTAGTTCCTGGTTTAAAAAGTTAAAATCCAATTAAAAAGAAAAAAAAGAGCCCCACTTGGGGGGGGGGGTGTTAGAAAGGGAGGCAAAAGGTAAAAAGCAATTCTAATATAAAACAAGGCTTTGCCGCCAAATGTCCAAGGCTCTTTGATAAGTCAGCTCAGAGTTTTTCAAGGTCACTTCAACCTTCTTTCTTTCAACTTCAACTCCAAACTCCAGCTATCTGTTCAGAAATGAGCACCTGAATAAACAAACTGCCATGCTCATCTCTACCTTTTCCAATACACAGCTCAGAGTCCTTGATTATAATACAAACCAGTGAAAGGAAAAAGAAACAATGTATCCAAGCCTCTGGCCGGCAGTGCTACTTACTTTCTTTCACTTTCACTTCCCCCTCCTCAATCTACAACCAGGAACTAAAAGAAAAAAAAAGTAAAATCTCCCCCCCCCCTTTTTAAAGGGAGAAAAATAAATCTTAAATCAAGCAGAAGAGTCTTAATCAAAAAATAATTTTCAAAAGGATTGTTAAAAAAACGAGAAATACAAACAGAAATAAAAATATTAAAAAGTACCAGTCCAGCTTAAAGTAAAACAGCTTTGCCAAGTTCAAAATTCCAATAAAAAACTTTCACTTTGACAATTAATCATGCCGCTTAAACTCTTTCCTCTTCACTTTTAGTCCACTTTCATTTTTTCAGGGTATTCTCTCCAAGAAATAATAAGTAAAAGTTCATCTCACCAAACTGACACACTTTCTTTCAATCTCTTCCATTCTGGAGCTGTCCCAGCTTCAGCAGCTTGGAAGGCTGCCCCTCCGCCACTGGCAAAAAAGGGCTTTCCCTGGATCAACCAGGGACTTTGCAATGTCCCTGGGATCAACAGGACATGCCCTTGTCAATCACCGTCTCTACGGGATGGTTTAGGTCCATGGGGACCAACCAGCAGCTGAGATATTGATGGTGATCTTGGAGAATCAAGATCTCTTGTCCGGGACGCCAGCTCCGCCCTCCATCCATATAGTTTTTTGATCACCTTCTCATCAGTACTTGTCAATTCAGTAAATTCATTATAAAATCGTTCTATCCTATGATCTTTATCATATCTAGAATGTATTTCCACATATGAATACCAATTCATCTCTATTCCTTGTTCCTCTAGTTCTTGCTTAGGTTTGAGTTCACCCTTTTCATTTAATATTTCATTGTATCTTACTATTTCTTCCATTCTCTAAACAATTGGATATGCAAATGCCTCTATAGTTGACAACCAGACTGGTATTTGCATGTAATGTTGTTTCCTAATTTTCTCCATATTAATAACAAACCATCGTGAATATAGTGTCTCCTAAAATACCCATGTGTTTTACTTTCCTTATACCATAAAAAGGCATGCCATCCCAATAATAAATCATGACCTTCTAATGTTAACAATCAAGTATTCCTTAAAACAATCCATTTTTTTTACCCACATCAATGTTGCCGCCTGGTAATATAATTCCCAATTAGGTAAACCAAAACCTCCTCCTGATCTAGCATATTGCAACAATTTTAATTTAATTCTTGCCTTTTCCCCCTGCCATATATATTTCAATATTATTTATTAAAATCTTCAAAGTATTCTTTCCCTAGTTTAATTGGAATTGTCTGAAACAAATATAAAATCCTTGGTAATATATTCATCTTAATTGTAGATATTCTCCCTATTAGAAATAGCTGTAAATTTTCCCAGTTTTTCAAATCTGTCGCAATCTGTTGTTTGAGTTTATGATAGTTATCTTCTTTGAATGTTCCACATCTTGCTGTCAGTTGTATTCCTAAGTATTTAACTTTGTTTGTGATCTGGATATTCAATCTCTTCATCAATTCCTTCTTTTGTTTTTCCACCATATTTTAACTAAGATCTTAGTTTTATCTTTATTTATTTTCAATTCTGCTACTTGTCCATATTCTTCAATCTTCTCTATTAATTTAGGTGTTGTTTTTAGTGGCTTCTCTAATATGAAAACCTGATCATCTGCAAATGCTTGTAGTTTATATTCCTCTTTTTTATTTTCATTCCTTTTATTTCATTATAATCTCTGATGTTTCTATTTAATACTTCAAAAGTCAAAACAAACAGCAAAGACAACAGTGGACATCCTTGCCTAGTTCCTTTTCTAATATTATCTGTTAAATCTCCATTTATCATTATTTTGGTGGATTGCTTATGATATATTGCCTTTATAGCTTCAACAAATTTTCCACCAAATCCCACTTGTTCCATTTGTGCTATCATAAACTGCCAATTTACAAAGGCCTTTTGTGCATTTAAGAATACCAAGGCCATTTGTTTCGGAGAATGTGTTTCATAATATTCCACAGTAATCAAAATTATTCTCACATATCCTTGATTTGCCTCTTTGGCAGAAATCCATTTTGATCAACATGTATAAAATTTAGTTTCTAACAAGACTTCATTCATCACTTCAAGCATTAGAATACTTAAAGATTCCTGTAGAGTTTTATAAAATTCTGCTGGCAGCCCATCTGGTCCCGGAACCCTTCCAGTATTTTGCCTCTTTAACACCTCAGCTAGTTCCATCATTGTTATTTTTCCTCCTAACATTATTTTAATCTCCTCAGATATCCGAGGAAGCTTCGCTCTTTGTAAATATTGTTTCACTTTTTCTTCATCAATATTCTCTTGCTTGTATAACTTTTCATAGTATTTTTGTATTATCTTGTTCTTTTCATCATTCCTGTTACATGCCCTTCCTCGATCATCTATTAATTGCATTATCTTTTTCATTTCTCTCTCTTTTTTCAACTTATATGCCAACCAGCTGCCTGGTTTATTTGCATTTTCATAAAAGTTCTGTTTAACGCTTCTAATTTTTTGGGCTAGCTCTTCTTTTCCCATCAATCCCATTTTATGTTTAATTATGTCCATTTGATTTTTGATATCCTTTTTTGTGGATATTTTTGTAAGTTCTTCTCAAGTTTCTTGTAGTCCTCTAACTTCTGTTGTGTTCAATCTATTATTAATAATCTGGCATAGGCCTTCCTTCTGGCATAGGTATCCCATAGGTTTTGCAGTGAGGTGTCCTCTTTATTATTCTCTTTAAAGAAAAAAGCCAATTCCTTTTCCATCTTTTTTGTAAATTCTTTTTCTTTCACTATTGTATTATTCACAGTCCATCTAGATCTTTTCCTTTGTCCTTTCCACTCAATTCTAATTGGATTGTGGTCCATCCAAGTACTCGTTTTGATATTTACATCTTTTATATTAGAAATCTGTTCCGTTGACATCCAAATCATATCTATTCTTGACCATGATAAGTGTTTATTGGAATAAAAGGTGTATTGTCTATTCCTTGTATTTCTTTCTCTCCAAAAATCTTTAATGCTTAGTTCTTCTACCATTTTGAAAAAGTGAAAAAGAAAATTACAATTTTGGTAATATCTTTCTATTTTGTCTATTAGTTTTCTGTGTTGTATAGTCCAAGTTTGCATCTACTATTCCATTAAAGTCTCCCATGAGGCATATATTATCATATTCCAATTCAATAATTTTGTTATGTAGTTTTTTTATAGTATTCTTCTTGTTTTTCATTTGGAGTGTATATTGCTACATTGTTATCATTTCAAATTCCCAGAGGTTGTGGGAGGAGCTTCTGGCTGCTTGTGAAAGAAGCAGAGGGTGAGTAAAAAGGAGGGAGGTAGTTTGAATTGCTTCCATTGCATTTCAATTTCCCAGAGATTGTGGGAGGAGCTACTGGCTGCTTGTGAAGGAAGCAGAGGGTGAGTAAAAAGAGAAGCCGCCTTCTGGTTGGGGACTCAATTGTAAGGGATGTAAATTTAGGAAAGGATACTGAGGTTTTAAAGGAGGTCAAATGTCTACCAAGTGCTATTGCCAACAGAGACAAGAAGTCTATTCTTAAGATAGTCAAGAATGCCAGCCACGACTGTGATCTTGATGCTATCTTGGTACAAATGATCTGTCCCAGAAGGATGTACTTTCTGTTCAGGAAGACTTCCAGAGCTTGGGGTATGAACTTAGCAATATGGGCTGTAGGCTTATCTTTTCAGAGGTTCTACCAGTATACAAGGAACAAAAAGGAAAAGGGCAGTGTATAGCAGAGTTTAATGTGTGGCTAAAGGAGGGGTGCAAAAGGGAAGGTTTTGGTTTTATTAATCATGTCTGCAGCTGGTCCAATGAAAAACTGTACAAAAGAGATGGTTTGCATCCATCAAAGCAAGGGACTGAGTTACTTGGCATTTGTCAGGTAGTGCTCCATTCAAAATTCAAGAAAGAAATACTTAGACTCCTTAAATTAGAGAAAAGATATCTTTTACTGAAAATGAAGTGGTAGCAACAATAGAATTCTGAATCTGAGGAATTAGGCGTGCAAATCACATATACAAAGTGATGGAAATGTTCCCACCCCCAATAGTTCAAATGATTCTTCCAATTAAAAGTTGTGAATATGGTCATGTGGACATCTTCAGGTGGTGATGAGGCCTCTGTCCGTTGACCTTGGCATATTTTGATAAAGGTTTGCAGCTGCTCAGAGAAAAGAAAGCTAAGCGAGAAATAGAAACCTAAGCAAGAATTTATCCTCCCCCCTCCTCATTTTATACAACACTAGAATGTAACACCTCCAGCTCGCTTCCCAGACTTTACCCCTCCTCCCCCCATTACTTATGGCAGCCAAAAGATGCAAAGCAATAGTAGAAGATCTTGAAGGCTGACAGCATTAAATTAACAGACTTTCTGGATAAACATTTAAATTGAACAGCGGGGACAGGGAATTAATGGATTCAGAACATTTCTGTCCCCAGCAACCAAAAACTAATAAGGATAACAGTGCATGCAAAATAGATGTTTGTGCAGGTAAGATTATCAACCTTGATGCCAACCAAAACCAAGCATTTAATAGTGAGTGCCATACCAAGTGCATTAATCAAACAGGTGGCAAGAAAGTAGGGGCAAGCAGGCACAACACAGGTTATGTAGACAGTAAACACAGGGTCAGACATAAAGATCTCAAGTGCCTATATACAAATGCACAAAGTCTGGGGAACAAACAGGGTGAACTCAAACTACGAATACATGAAGGTAAATATGATATAGTTGGAATAACAGAAAGTTGGTGGGATAAAACCCATGACTGGAACATACTGGTAGAAGGATACAAACTATTCAAAAAAAAAAAAAAAAAGAACAGACCCCATAAAAGAAGAGGTGGAGTTGCACTGTATGTAAAGGACCATTATATTGCTACAGAAATGCATGAAACCAAAGATGAAAACCTCCTAGAATGCATATGGGTCAATATAAAAGAAAAAAAGAATGACATGGCCATAGATATATATTATAGGCCACCCAATCAAGTAGAAAAAATAGATGTCCTTTTTGTCAGCCAACTAACAAATATATTTAGTATTTTAGTATTTATTTGATTTGTCAATTGTTTACAAGATACAGGCATAAGAATAAACATAGTTTTGAATACATGAGATAGATACTTATAAGAAAAACAAAAAGAAACAATAGGACAGGGACGGTAGGCACAATTGGTGCGCTTATGCATGCCCCTACAGGCCTCTTAGCAAGGGGGTGAGGTCAATAGTAGACAGTCTAAGGTTAAAGTTTTTGGGGTTTGGGGAAGAAACCACAGAGTCAGGTAGAGTATTCCAAACATTGCCCACTCTGTTGCTGAAGTCGTATTTTCTGCAGTCAAGTTTGGTGCGGTTAATCTTGAGTTTGTATCTATTGTGTGCTCTTGTATTGTTATGATTGAAGCTAAAATATTCATTTGCAGGTAGGACATTGCAATGTATGATTTTATATACTATATTTAGATCAGACCAGAGGCAGTGTAGTTCTAGGTTTTCTAGGTCTAGAGTTTCAAGTCTGGTGGCATAAGGTATTCTGGAATGAGTAGAGGAGCAGGGAACTCTTCTTGTGAAATATTTCTGCACTTTTTCAATTGTGTTAATATCAGATACATGATATAGGTTCCAGACTGATGAGCTGTATTCAAGTATAGGTCTAGCAAATGTTTTGTATGCTCTAGTTAGTAGTGTGATATTACCAGAGAAGAAGCTACTTAGGATTATGTTAACAACTCTTAATGCCTTTTTGGCTATGTAGTTACAGTGGGCTCTAGCACTTAGATCATTAGAGATGAGTACTCTAAGGTCCTTGACAAAGTTTGGATCCTCAACAAGGTCTTGGCTATTCAGCCTGTATTTTATTTTCTGATATATTTTTTTGGCAATATGTAGGACAGAGCATTTATTTGTTGAGATTTGAAGTTGCCATTTGATTGACCATTCTGATACATAGTCAAGGTCTTTTTGGAGAGTAGTAGTATTGTCTGTGGTGTTGAATAGTTTTACATCATCAGCGAAGAGAACACAATTGCTCTTAATATGATCACAGAGGTCATTTATGTAGAGTATGAAGAGAGTTGGTCCTAAAACACTGCCTTGGGGCACACCACTGTTGACAGGTACAGAATTTGATAGGATGCTCCCAATTTTGACCATTTGTTGTCTGTTTGACAGGAATGCTTCTAACCAGTTATGTAGGTGTCCAGAGATACCGTAAGATTTTAGTTTTAGTAGTAGTTTGTTGTGTACCACTCAAAGGCTTTAACAGGAGTCTATGTAGATTGCATCTATTGCTTTTCCCTGATCGAATTGTGTAGTCCATATGTTTTTGCAGTGTAAGAGTTGCAGATTACAGGATAGTTTTTTTTTTCCTGAAACCAAATTATTTATTAGAGAGTAGGTTGTTTGTCTCTAAGTGGAGGATAATGGATTGGTTAATAATTGATTCCATGACTTTACAGGTAACGCAGCATAAGGAGGTTAGTCTGTAATTTTCAACTAGGTCGGGGTCTCCCTTTTTGAAGATGGGGATGACCATGGCTTGTGACCATAGTTTTGGCAAGGAGCTGGTCCTGAAAGACTTTTCAAAGATTATGCTTAGAGGTTCAGCTATGGCAGTGGGTAGCTTTTTAAAGAAGTAGGCACATATCCCATCCAGTCCAATAGATAGGGATGGTTTTAGATTGCGCAGTGCTTTTTCAATACCGTAATAATGTCTTCTGTAAAATCAATATGTATTAGATGATTGTAGTTGTCTGTGGTTTGACTAGGAAGTACTGGGCTTGATCCATTGCTGTTTACAAATACTGAGAATGTGTTAAAGAGGTTTGCTTTGATGGTGTCGTCATTGCAGGAAACACAACAATATGCATATTGTTATATATGCAGGAAACACACAACAATAGTAATGGGAAACTTCAATTATCCTGATATCAATTGGAAAACTAATTCTGCACTAAGTGAGAAATCAAATAAGTTCCTAACCAACCTAGCTGACAACTTTGTTGTCCAAAAGGTAAAGGGTGAAACTAGAGAGACAGCCATACTGGACTTAATTCTTACAAACAGAGAAGAAGTGAGAGAGGGAGTTGAAACTGCAGGAACCTTAGATGAGAGTGACCATGTCATACTAGAATTCAACATAACACAAACACAAGCAACGGAACATAATGACACCAGAGTCTTGGATTTTAAAAGAGCTGATTTCAATAAACTCACAGAGAACTTGGGAAAAGATTCCATGGATGAAAATCCTAAAGCGGAAAACAACTCAAGAATCTTGGGAAACTCTAAAAAGTATGATCATAGAAGCCCAGACCAGCACAATACCACTGAGAAAGACAAACAAGAAATCCAAGAAGAAACCAGCATGGCTGCACAAAGATCTCTCTGGCAAATTGAAAGAAAAAAAGGACAAGTACAAAAAATGAAAAGAAGGACATACAACTAAGGCGGAATATCAGCAGATAGCCAGAATCTGCAAAGACGAAGTCAGGATAGCAAAGGCTCAGAACGAATAAAGACTTGCAACAAAAGTCAAAGATAATAAAAAAAGTTTCTTCCAACATATAAATAACAAGAAAAAAATCAAGGAAACAATCAGTCCACTAAAGAGAGAAGACGACAAGGAAGTAATAGGCAACAGAGAGAAAGCAGAACTGCTTAACTCATTCTTTGCATGAATCTTCACGCAAAAAGAAACTATAGTTCAACCCACCAAAAACATAACTGTAAAAGACAGACCAGAAATAAAAGTTAAAATAAATGTGTGATCTTGATGAAAACAAATCACCGGGGCCTGATAGATTACATCCCAGAGTTTTAAAGGAGCTGGCAGAGGTCATCTCAAAACCACTGCACCATATCTTTCAAAAATCCTGGAGCACCGGGGAACTACCAGAGGACTGGAAAAGAGCTGATGTGGTTCCCATCTTCAAAAAAGGAAAAAAACAGACCCAGGAAACTATAGACCAATCAGCCTAACATCAATACCCGGGAAGATACTGGAAAAGATAATAAAAAAATAGATCTGTCAACATCTAGAAACAAGTAAAGTAATAACTAGCAGTCAGCACAGGTTTGTTAAAAACAGATCATGCCAAACCAATCTTATTTCATTCTTCAACACAGTGACTAAAGACCAGCAAAATACTGTGGACATAATATATTTAGATTTCAGCAAAGCATTTGACAAAGTACACCACAACCTACTTCTTAGTAAGCTAGAAAAAAAGTGGAATAGATAGCACCACCACTAGAAAGACTCGCAACTGGCTGGCAAACCATACTCAACGAGTAGTCCTTAATGGGTCTAAGTCTACATGAGGGAAGTAAGCAGTTGGGTGCCACAAGGTTCCATCTTAGGCCCAGTACTCTTCAATATCTTCATTAACAACTTAGATGAGGGAATAGAAGGGGAACTTACCAAATTTGCAGATGATACTAAGCTGGCAGGAATAGCTGACACCCAAGAAGATAGGCTCAAGATCCAGATGGATCTTGACAGACTAGAACACTGGGCCATATCTAACAAAATGAAATTCAATGTAGAGAAAAGTAAAGTCCTACACTAAGACAAGAAAAACCAAAAGTACACATATAGACTGGGTGAAACCAGGCTCAATAGCAGTACCTGTTAGAGGGATCTTGGAGTCCTAGTGAGCAACCAGCTAAATATGAGCCAGCTGTATGCAGCAGCAGCCAAAAAAGCTAATGCAATCCTAAGTATTAACAGAGGGATACAATCAAGATCAAGGGAAGTACTAATACCACTCTATAAAGCCTTAGTAAGACCACATCTAGAGAACTGCATCTAGTTTTGTTCACCATATTATAAAAAAGATGTTGAGACTCTAGAAAAAGTTCAGAGAAGAGCAACCAGGATGATTAGGGGACTGGATGCTAAAACATACAATGAATGGTTGCAGGAACTGGGCTTGGCTAGTCTAGTAAGGAGAAGGACCAGGGAAGACATGATAGAGGTCTTCCAATATTTGAGAGGCTTCCACAGGGAGGAAGAGGTCAAGCTATTTTCTAAAGCGCCTGTAGGCCAGACGAGGAATAATGGATGGAAACTGAACAAGGAGAGATTTAACCTGGAAATAAGGAGAAACTTTCTGACAGTGAGAACAATCAACCAATGGAACAGCTTTCCCTCGGAAGTTGTGGGAGCACCATCACTTGAGACTTTCAAGAAGAGATTGGACTGCCATTTGTCAGAAATGGAGTAGGGTCTTCCGTTTGGGCGGGGGGTTGGACTAGATGACCTACAAGGTCCCTTTCAACTCTGATTATCTGTTATCTGTTATTTCCACCATTAATGTTCTTCTTTCTTCATCTGTAAAGATTAGTTCAGCTTTAATTGTATTTTTAATGTATAGTGCAACTCCCCCTTTTTTTCTTTTAGGCCAATAAAATATATAAATTCCCAATTTTAGTATTTTTTAACATCTGAACATGTTTTTTATATGAACTTCTTGCAAGCAAATTATGTCCAGTTTTAATTTTTCTAATTTATGAAATATTTTCCTTCTTTTTATAGCTGAGTTCAATCCATTTATATTCATTGTAATCAGTTTCTTTTCTTCCATTGTTTATACCTCATATGTAGGGTTTATAGCTCTGGTAGACCTTTGCTCCCTTGTTCCTTTATACTCCATTCTTCCTCCTATTGCTCCTTCCTCACATGTTGCTTCTTCTTGAATTGTTTTATCTCTTGCTTCAATCATTTCCTCTTGGGTTTTGACTATTTCCTCTTCTTGCAATTTCTCATCCTCTTTCCCTCTAAAGTATTCTCCATAAAATAGTTCTGCTTTCTCTATTGAATCTATTTTATGTCTTTGCTCTTGCCAGGTAAACATAAGACTTTCAGGGAACAGCCATCTCTAATTCACACCTTTCTTAATTAGGATTTTTGTCAAGAATTGATATTCTCTTCTTATTTCCCTCACTTTTCTTGGTACTTGTTTTAGGACCACAATCTCCTTATCTTTATACTTCAGTGGTTCATCTCTTGAACTTTGTAGTATCTGTGTTTTGACTGCCTTTTGGTAAATCTTATGTGGACTTCTCTAAGTAGTTTATTTCTCATTGCATATCTTGTAAAGGCTCAATACACCTCATCTATGCCATCCATCATTTTCTCTTTGGATAACTTCAAGGCGTTTGCCAGCATTTCTATCATTATTTCAGCAAGATTTTCTCCCTTTTCTTCTTCTATATTTTGGAATCTGAGATAAAAATCTGTCCTGTCCAACTCCCAGCCCAGCATCCCACTTCCTCTATGATGTTCAACAGCAGTCAATCTACTACCAATTGCACCAATTTTCCTGTCTCTCTGGTCATCTTTTTCTTCTATTTTTTGAAATCTTTCCTCATATTTCATCATCATTTGTTGTATATTCTCTACTTTCTCATCTGTTTTCTGTCTGCCACTTTTTGTATTGCTTGCATTATCATTTGTAGTGTAACTTCCTTCTCTTTTTCCTTCTCTTTCCTTTTTTTGTTGCAACATCATGTGTATTGATTGCTGTCCAGTAAGTGTGGAGGAGGAGTGGGTATCCATGAGCCTGTGGCAGTTGTCTTCTTCATTTCAGATTAAATGTAGCTCTGATCAACAACCACCAAATACAATCTTCAGGTTCTTCTTTACTTTAATCCAATTAAAAAGGGAGATATATGTGTAAATAAAAATAAAAAATAAAGATAAATTGGAAAATAGAAATTCTCTGTAAAAATTTAATCCATGGAGGGGCCCAAAAAACCAGAAAAAGAATACAGAATTAATCCAAAGTTAATCCAACAGTAGTATAAAAATAATGGGGATGAAAAAGGAAAAAGGAAAGGGAAAAAAGGCCAAGATAGAATAAAAAAATAAGGATGAAGAAGAGAAAAAAATTATCCAATTATAAAGTCGAGGCCTAGTTAAAAATAAAACCAAGCAAACCAGAAAGGTCAGGCCAAGCGCAGCTGTCACCAAAAAGGGGGAAAAAATAGCAAAGGCTTTGTAGTTTGGAAGTTCTGTCACAAAGCAAACCCCTGCCACCATCTCTTCAAGATGGGTTAGGTCCAATTGGACCATCCAGTTGTGGGGATATTGGCGTTGGTCTCGGAGACCCGAGATCCTTTGTCCATCTTGTAGCGGCATCAGCCCCTCCCTCTCTCTATGGCCAACTTCTGTTCTTTGGTTGTTATCCATATTATCTTTAGAATGTCCTTATGTTGCCTTCCATGCTGACTTGTCCCCTTTTTCCACACATATTTCCTTTTTTATTTTTAAACCTTCATAAACCTTTTATGCAGCCATATTATTCTTTTTTTAAATAAAGTTTATTTAAGTTTCATATATTTAAAACATTTAAAAAGAAACAAACAAACATATAAACAAATATATATACATATATACATTTTGCAGCAGGTATTGAACATTGGTTACACTTTTCTTTTCTTTTTTTTCTTTTACCCCATAACATTGACGTGATCTACCTTGTTATGATACCTTCCTCGTTCTTTTAATGTTTTATTTTCACAGAATACTTTATGATTAAACACACATCCTTCATAGTTTCATAAGTTATTCAGTTGTCAAATGTTGCCTTTTCTTTAACTAGTCATACCAACAGTTCCAAACTTTGTAGTATTCACTATCTTTGTTGTTTTTTAGTAATTTGGTTAGGCTGTCCATCTCTGCACACTTGTGAATTTTTTTAATGACCATCTCCTCTGAAGGGACAATAGACAGTTTCCATTTTGAGCGTAGCTTATTCTGGCTGCCATTATAATGTGCAAGATTAAATATTGATTTTTT